TTACACAATTGGTATGAAGGTAGCAGAATGTGTACAGGTTTTTCCATTACCATGGTGTTTTTATGGGTTGAAGATTTTGGCAGGAACTGGTTCTGCTACAACGTAACATTTAGCTTTTATCTAGGTTAATACAATATTGGGGTAGGTTGTCACCAAATGTTGAAGAAGGCTTTAAAGACTCTTCTCTGAAGTTAATAATTAATGAGGTGTATTACAAAACTACTTCTAATTAAAAAATTACAAAATTTATCAGAAGAGTTAATATTTAAAGTATGCAGGGACTCACAGCTGTGGCTAATTACAAGCAGTGATCTACTTTGCAGACAAAGTAGCAGAGTGGTTAATAAAAGACTCTAAAAGTGAATAATTTCTTCAATATCTTTGTCAGCTGACAAGTACGTGAGATTGCCTGAAGGAACTGGCCTTTATTTACTGCTGCAGAAATATTTTTAATCTCTTATTAATTTAATCTTTTTGATCCTAGCTACAGTCTCAGTAATTTCAAAATTACTGTCCTACAAGCAATAGTGATGTTATAGGACAAAATAAAAGGGCTGCGTGCAGCTTTGCCCATTTAATGTCATGTGTGTTTATTAAGAGGGCAGCAGACACCCAAAAAGCCCGTATATAACTGTATGTGCTTAAATATTATTTATAACTAATGTAAACTACCTTTCAAGTCATTCTTTCCAATTGCAACTTGAGAGAATGGGCATAAAAATGTCTAAATGTTTGCAGGATGACCTTTTTATCAAGAAAGCTTGGTCCTGTATCTCCTTCAGGAGCTTTTGCTGATATTCCTGCTCCAGCAATCAAAAGTGTCCGTGGGAGTGGATGACGTTTATGGCAGTGGGGCTGCAGAAGTCCCCAGAGTGGACTCAGACCTGTGTACCTTGTTTTGGTACACAGGAATGAATTTATTTTTACTGTATCAGCATAAAACCACTACTTTGCTGTTACAACTTTGACCACTCCAGCCGTGTGCTGCTGATGTGGTGTGTCAGTGCACCCAGTGTGAACATAACCTGAAAGAGCCTAATCTGAGTTTGAAAAGATGACTGTGCTGACACATCTGCTGTGTGCAGGTACAGGAGCAAATACATTGTACAGAAGAGTCTTTTTATTCTAGCAGGAGTGGTATAATGAGAATGAGGGGGTGGAAACCCAAGCCAGAAAATTCAAATATGAAATGAGATACACATGTTCAACTGTGAGTGTGATATGCTTTAGCCAAACACAACTTAGTGAGCTTAGTACGGGGGGAACTCGGCGAAATGTAATGGTCTGTGATATGCAGAGGGTCAGGTTCTATGATCTAATCATTTCTTCTGGCTGAAATCTCTTCATAAAAAAATCTAGTTCAAGCATAACTTACAGCCCAAAGAGAGGAGTTGCTGCCTGAAATTCAATGACTAGTGCTTGTACAAGGCAGTTAGAAATGCCCCTTCTGGCTTTATAGTCTATGGATGGATTAATGTGTTAAAGTAGCTTAAGGGTGCAACGCATGCTGGCAAAAGCTGAAGCAGAAAGAAACTCCTGTTCAAGTGCTCTCAGACAGTGACTCCTGTTCAAGTGCTCTCAGACAGTGACTCCTGTTCAAGTGCTCTCAGACAGTGCAGCCTGTGGCCATCACAGCTGGGGCTGTGCTGGCAGGACACAGGGGTGCAGTGAAACCGCTGGGGATCCGCAGGCTCTGCTCCGTGGGGACGGGCTGTTCCTGTCCCAGATCCCCGGGCTGGATGGCTCCAAGCAGGCAGAGCACATCAGAACCTGTAGAATCAGGAATTGTTAAGGTTGGGAAATACCATTAAGAATATCAAGTCACCATCAACCCAACACCACCTCTATATTCACCATTAAACCACGTCCCCAAGTGCCACATCCACATGTTTCTTGAACACTTCCAGGGATGGTGGCTCCACCACTGCCCTGGGCAGCCTGTCCCAATGCTTTACAACTCTTTCTGCTGTTTCTTTTCCCTAATATCCAATTTAAACCTCCCCTGGCACAACTTGAGGCCATTTGCTCTCGTCCTGTCACTTGTTACCTTCCAGTCTGTGCACGCTGAGCCTGCTCTGCACCGGGAGCCAAAACAAGTGGGGAGGAGGAGGAGATACATTACCCAGGAATGCTCTCAGTCCAACACAGGACACTGATATGGGCTGATCCTAGAGCAGCGTTCACTTTAAATACTGTGCCCATGTGTAAGGTATTTTCCTACCTGTCCAGCAGCACAGGAAAGCAGTGTGCTCTTACTTTCCTAGAACTCTTAGAATGCAAAATCTTGACTGAGGCTCGACGCTGTAACTCGTGACCCTCAGCACTTGGCTGTTGGGTGATGCACACAAACTCCTTCAGGCCAAAGATGAGGTTCCTTCAGTACGACACTGAAAATGCAGCAGTTGCTGCAGTTGCAGTTTGCTGCAGTTGTCCCATGGGCAGAAGTCTTTCAGTGAAGAGTTGTGACATGTAGTAGGAAGATACGTTAGCTGTACATTTCCTTTTGTAAAGGTCTTGGAGGGGTGAGATCTGTACCAAAAATGGGTTCCTTGTTTTGAACTAACACAGTCCTGGGCCAGTCAGGCGATAGTCCATAAATCTCTCCAGTGACAGCTCTGCACTGGGTTGTTCCAAGGAAGGCAAAGGGGCGAAGTCCCAAGAAGAGCTCCAGATGTTACTGATTTTTTCCCTGTTATTAGCAATTACTCACTTGGAATTCTCTAGCAGTTTTCCTTCTTAATAACAGACTGTGGAAGAGTCAGCAGAATCATGACCAACCAGATCATGAAACTTGCCAGTGGTGAGAACGTGCACAAGATCTGAAAGAGGAAGCGCTTCCAGCAAATGCTGATTTGGATTTACTCATTTTTCTTGATTTATAAAGAAGGATTTTTTCCCTCAGTGTTTGTACCTAACCAATGCCAGTTGTATTCTTCAGAAACTGTAATATTCCTTTAAATATCATTTTATTGCCTAAGATACAGCTCCATCCCCAGACTCATGTTTTATATCCGAAACTGTCTTTTAAGATGTATTTATTGCCATGTTTGTTTAACTTGGTTATCTCCTTCATCCATCTATTTCTTGCTAACTTAAAGCTGCTGCTCTTTGTTTTTAGTAGGGAAAGCTGCTTCCCCAGGGATGTATAGTCCAGGACTTGTCTCTGTAATGGGACTATTTGTTTTCTTTGCCCCTTGCAGTTGCCTGCTGTAACATTTGTAGTATGTGTTAAGTAATCCTTGAGGTAACATTTTTATTATGTCATAAAAAGTGCGTGGCAAATATATAATAACTCATGGAATTTGTTTGTTTAAAATGGAAGGATAATTTATTGAGTGTGTTACATGAGACCTGCTCCCCCTTATTAGAGCTGTAGAAGTGCAGCTTATTTAGAAGTATGTTCTATTGAGAAAAACCACGATCTCTGACATGCATAGAAGGTTTGAGCATGGTTGGGTAGAAATGACATCATAGTTTATGTACTCAATAAAAATTTAATTAAGTCATTACAGAAGTTGCAGTCATCATTTAACCCTCTGATTTCTTATGTTTAGTTCTTTTTTTAAACATTCAATAATAACCAGTCTCCAAATCTTGATAGCCTATAAAATATCTGCATGAATTTTAATAGTTTATATTAATGGAAAAATATGAGTAACTGACATAAAAGGAATTTTCCTTGTGTTTGCACTATGTGCATTGCTATAAAAATCAACAGATGAAAAAAGACAGTGGTTTAATGGAAGAATATTTGAACTGGAGATTTGCTCACTTGGCAAAAACTAACTCCTGTTTTGACAGAAAACCTGTTGCATAATTACTGAGGTGAATACTCATAAGGATGCTGAGAGAGTGAGTATTCAGAACAAGAGGTTCCCAGTGAGATGGGCTGTACCTCAAGGACCCTGCACTCCTGTTCACTGTCTCTGTTTTGTAAAACTTGTCTCCGGGCTCAGTCTCACACCTGAGTGTCCTGCTGGCGTGCAGGGCTTGATTATCCTTGTCATTTATAGTTCAGTAGAAAAGAAACGCTTGGATCCCTCACGAGAGCCAGAACAAAGAAGCAGCTTTGCTAAAGTGTAGCTGAGCCCTTGGGAGAGGACCTGAATCACTTTGGTGATGAAGTACAGGCAAAAGGGACAGACCGTGCACGAGGGAGATGCACAGGAGGCACTTCAGCTGGCCCTCTGCATCCAGCAGTTGCTCCAGTTCCATCTTAAGCTCACATGGGGTCAGTTCTCAAGCCAATGGGTGGCTTAGGCCAAACCAGCAAATATTTAAGCAGTTGTTAAATTTAGTTGAAAGTCAGTGTGGAACTTGGACTGAGGCACACAGCATTAGGGGGAAGTCGCTGGATCATCACAAACTCTGAAAGAAATTTAGTCACAGTCAAAAACTAGTGAGTCTGAGCTCCCAGAGATGCTGTAGAGGCAGAATTCATGTGCTTGCTGACTGAGAGCCAGTGCTGACAGGTAAGGAGGGAGCAGTGGCGGGGATGGTGTCTCTGTCTTTAGCATTCCTGTACTTTCACTCCAGTGGCACGTCCAGTTCTGCAGTCCATGCTTTGGGAGAAAAAAGTTCAAAAACCTTTGAGTTTCTAAGAATGAATCAAGGTCTGGAAAAGCTGCTCAATAGTTAAACTACAGAGGAGTCTCCATTCTCTTGGGCTGTGCTGGCACTGCCAGGACAGCTTTGCTTCCTGCTGCTCCAGCAACGTTTTCTCTCCGCTCGTGCAGTGGTGGCAGAGCTGTTGGCTCAGGGTGGTTCTGCCAGTTGTATATTGAGTAACACCAACTGCATTTGTGTCAGAATGAACAGAGCTGTGTCTCAGGGGGGTTCTACAGGGACTGACTGCACCAGGGTTTTGCTTACAGCTACTTCCTCAGCAAGCTGGGCTGGGGCACTGGTTCTTCTTTGCCTGCTCACAGTGAAACTGGTAACATTTTCTCCTCACCCCCTCTTTAGAGCCTACACTGATGGTTTTCTGGTCTATTTTTCAGATTAATTCTGTTGCTCTAAAGGAAGATTTGAAAAGTATGGTAGAAAATTTCTATGCAGCTCTGTTTGGATACGATGAGGTAAGAAGGATGTTTTCAGTGAATGTGCCACAACTGGGCCATCTAATTCATGAACTCAGAATATTCCAGATATTAGGTAGAACATTCAGTGTCCATATCTTTGGAGAAATGTTATGTTAGGGAAGAGACTTCTTAGTTATGTACCCTGAATGAAAGGACTTTTAAGAAAACAGCACAGAGCACATAGATTTAAACCATGGGATGTGGAAGGGGTTAGGGTGTTCTTGATGCTACTTCTCCTTCCCTGCTTGGCCATCACTAAATCATTTCCTCCCTCTGAATCCCATTGTACTAAGCTGTACTTTGAAAACAAAGAGTATTTATGGAGTATTTATAGGGAGTCTATGTGAGAATATTTATAGGCAGTACCTAATAATATGTGGGGGCAAAAGCACCACTGTGCACAAGTGTCTGCAGGACTTCCAAGAGGAAAATACAATGACATAATCTCTTTTTGTAGTTATTTTTTTGCTCTAGTGAGTGTTGCTCTTCAGATGCTCTTATTCACATAGTGGTACTAATTCTTTGCACAGTGATTTGCATTATTAATATCTTGTAAATGTAAAGTCATAGAGTTGTGGACAGTATTACACATACAAATTTATAATCTAGTTATAACTAGATGTGTCTGCCTGTGTTTTGTTGACAGTCTTTTTGGAAACAAAATGTCTGCTTCAATTAAAGACAAATGTTGACTTTTTTATTTTTAACTGAATATTTTTACAGTCCTGTTTTGCCTTTGGCAAATGTACTAGCAGAAAACAGTAGTTAAGAGGCTATAGTGATAATACCACATAATCTAAGAAGACAGTAAAAGTGGGAGAGGATTTGGATGAAAAGCTTCATGGATGTGGTTCCTGTATAAACCAAAGCCAATATTAGATTTAACTGGAAAAATCTACATGATTCTTGATGAGGAGGAGTTCTCTCTCATTTAGAATGAAAAGTAAAAAAGCAAAGCAAAATAGCAAAATCCAGACTACATTTCTGCAACGTTGGATTAAATATCCTTAAATTTTTCTTTTCCAAGTCTTATGGGCTTCACACGTTCCCGTGAGATGGTGCTGCCTTCTCTGCAAGGTCACCACTTTTATGGTAAAGATTTCATAACACAGAAATGCAGTTATCATCTCCTGCATTAGGAATACCCTGACCCAGGTTTTTTCCAAATTAACTTGCCAGAATATTGGTTACAGGCTGCTCTGTAAATTAATTTAAGGTTGTTTTTCCATTCTGGGAAAGAGTGATGTTGCTGCCTTTCCATGTGCAGGGCCCGTGGCAGCTGTGGCTGTGAGACAGGTGCCATGGCCAGGGGCCAAGTGCACTGACGTGGGTGTCTCGTGTTCAGACCCTCTTCACGTGCAGTTTTTAATCCCCCTCTGTACTTCCTTTAGGGAATCTTGTCTGATGATCATGTTCTGGCAGCAGCTCTTTGGAGGAACCTTTTTAACAGGAACTGTGACGACCCTCGGCATCTGGAGTTACTCGTGGAGTACGTGCGCAAACAGGTACGGAGGGAGGCTCCTCCCCAGCCTCTCTTTACAATATTGAATACTTGTTTTTATTGCTTGCATATGTAGCTCAGTTCTCATAAATAAATCTGATTTTAATATTCAGTGATCATGTTTAAGGAGAAAAAGGTAAAAATATAAAATCTGGATTATATTTATTATAGAATCGGAGACTATCCTGGGTTGGAAGGGACCCACAAGGATCATCCAGTCCAACTCCTGGCCCTGCACAGACACCCCAGCAATCCCACCCTGTCCCTCAGAGTGTTGTCCAAACCCTCCTGGAGCTCTGGCAGCCTTGGGGCTGTGCCCACTGCCCTGGGGAGCCTGGTCAGTGCCCAACCACCCTCTGGGGGAAGAACCTTTTGCTGAGATCCAACCTGACCCTGCCCTGTCCCAGCTCCAACCATTCTCTCAGGTCCTGTCACTGGTCATCAGAGAAAAGAGATCATTATTGCAGTTTGGTGAAAAGAGAAGCTCACAGAATATTGAACCACTTCTGTTCCTCTTTCCGGACATCTGCTATGGAGGGGCTTGAAAAATCTGTCAGAAATGGGCTGCAGCTTGTTGTAGGTTATAATTGTTGTTTTGGAGCTGGGATCCTCATAGTGAAATAGCTTGAAAGTCTCTGATGATCTTTGGGGGAAAGAAGGAAAAGGTTTTGTTTTCAAGACTAATTTCTATTTCTTTCAGTTATTACCTGGAGGAGACAATACTGAGTAGTGTTTGTCCTCTTAACCTTGAGGAGGTTTGTGATTAAGGTTTCTAGGAAATGTTCATGGGATACAGCCCAGGTGGGCATCAAAGAAAAGGGTGAGAGAGGTTCTGGAGAAAGAGTGTAAGGTGTTGGACAGGGAATTGAGGACCAGAATTTCCACAGCATCGTTCCCTGTAATGCTTCCAATACTGTATTCAGGATCAGATAGAGGTTTAGAGAGAAAGTATTTCAGTTTGTGTCTGAGAAAATGGCATGGGAAATCAAGGGCTAGGCTTCCCAAGGGACTGAGGACACTTTGGGAATGCCAGAAGGCTCTCGGGAGGGACTGGCTTAATTTAATTCTGAGGGTTGCTGATGCTTAACATCAGTGGGGCTGTAGGAAAGTTTGCAGGCAGCAAACACATATAAGAAGTCACTTGGGACAATTTCCTGCCAGGTAGGGAATTCGTTGCACTTCTGTATATTCAAGCAAAGGTCAGAAGCAATCAGCAGTTCAACAGGAAAGAGTGATCAGGTAGAAAAATGTGGCACGTTGGGGAGGAATCAGCACAGGTTCTGTGCAGACAGGTCATTCCTGCAGACAGGTGGTGCACTTGAGGAGAACATTCCCAGCTTTACAGATATGTCAATGAGCTCTGAACTTTTACCACACAAGAAGGAGGCATTGAGATTACAATTGTATTATCAAAACTTCAGCTCAGCACTCTGTAGTGTTTAAAAAAATGTAAAACAAATGCTCAGAGCTATTAAAGAATAGAGAATAAAATGGTGCTGTCCTGCCACTTTTTACATCCATGGGACCTGTGTGAGCTGACCATCAAGACAGACAAAACCTGAACTGGAGAAGGCTTAGAGAGGACCAATAAGGGTGACAGTGAAACAGCTCCTTTATTAGCAAAGAGTGGGATCCCCTGTCCAAAAAAAAAAACAGCTGAGAAAGAATAGGAGATAGCTCTGGGAAATCCTGAAGGCATGTGAAAGGTGTGCAAGGAAAGGTGTTCAGTGACACAGGAACGGGGGGACAGAATGTTGCCACTGCACATGGATTCCAAAGCCACTGTCCAGGGCCATTACAACCACTTCAGACTCAAATTCCCTGAAAGAAAAGATTTTGAGAGGGAGGGAAATCAGGAAGATAGCACTGTGTGCATGTGCTGTGTTTAACTCCTCCTGGGGAATCTACTGGTAGTGGCTGTGAGGAGCAGGGCATTGTGCTTAGGTGGCTTTTTGATGTGGCCATTGGTGCATTCTTTCCTCTGTTGAGAAACTCCTTGTCCAATTATCCTTTGTTTCCAGTAACATTGTGTACCAGGTCTTCCCCACAATTTCCTGTGGATCCTTCTCTAACATTGGCTATTAGTGGATGCCACAGAAGAATATACTAACAGGGCAACATATGCACTGTGCCCCTGCTCAGCTCTCCCAGCCTTTCTGAGCCAGCAGTGGTCAGCTTGGCTTCCACTAACCCTTGAGGGACTATTTTCTTTTTCTTTCCCCTCCCTGTATTTACAGTGTCCTGTGGCAGCAAGTTAATCCTATGCTATATGGCAAGAGGTTTTCTTATTTTGCTTAAATTTCATTAAATCCCCAAGTATTTTGCCCAGAGAAGCTGTGGCTGCCCCATCCCTGGGAGCATCCAAGGCCAGGTTGGATGGGACTTGGAGCAACCTGGGCTAGTGGAAGGTGTCCCTTCCATGGAGGGGGTGGAATGGGATGGGCTTTAAGGTCCCTTCCAACCCAAACCATTCTGGGATTTCTTATATTGTGAGGATGAGTGTTCATTCCATGTTCATCTCCTCCAGCTCCTGTGCTTTTATGTGATAAATCCCAGGTGCTCCCTACTGGTCAGGCCTTTTTTGTGTACTGAAAAGCCTCAGTCTGTGTGAAGCCCTTTTAATGAGAGCCCTCCACAGGGTGATGATATGGGCAGTGTCACCTGCAGGAATGCCAGGAAGATAAAATGACTCACGGTAGCTCTGCGTGGCTCCTCTTTGCCCTGATGCCAAACTCTCAGAGGAGGCATTAGCTGAGGTGTTAGTGGAGAGCCTGACACAGGTGACTCCAGAGGATCTGCAGATCCTTATCTCCCAAGCCTTGCCATGGTGCTTTGCAATCACAGAATCACAGAATATGCTGAGTTGGAAGGGACTCACAAGGATCACCCAGTCCAAGTGCTGGCCCTGCACAGGCCCATCCCCAGAGTCACCCCCTGTGCCCCAGAGGATCATCCAAACTCTCCTGGAGCTCTGGCAGCCTTGGCGCTGTGCCCACTGCCCTGGGGAGCCTGGGCAGTGCCCAACCAGCCTCTGGGGGAAGGACCTTTTTCTAATATCCAACCCAAACCTTCCTGACACAACTTCAGGCCATTCCCTCGGGTCTTGTCACAGTGGGAAGCGATCTTTTTAGGTCTACCTCGTGCAAATGGCAAAGCAGGCAAAAATCTCCCTGTTGTGCTTGCCTTCTGCACGTGTTTGTGCAGCTCTTGAGAGCCTTGACTGGGTGATGGGACAGTGGCGGTGACTTGCTGTGCTTGCAGGTGCAGCACCTGGACGCGCTGAGCGGGGAGGACCTGCTGCTCACGGGCGAGGTGAGCTGGCGGCCGCTGGTGGAGAGCGACGCCCGCAGCATCCTCAAGCCCCTCTCCCCCGTTTACAACGACGAAGGACTCTGAGATCCCTGTCGGAACAGCTTGGGAGGCGTGCCTGAAGTGGGACTGGGCCGAGGCCGTGGGCTCAGGAAGGAAAATCTGCTGTTGGAAGACAAATGTTTCATTAGCTATCCCATCCGTGGTGCCTCAGTAGCAACCTGGACAGCCATACTCCTCTGAACCTTCACCCGCAAGTAAATCCTCGTTGGTTTGAGAACCTCTGTCCTTTTTATGGCCCTGAGTGGCCCTGAGTGGCCCTGGCTGTCAAATGGACAGAGCTGCCTTCTGTCTTTAGGAAACCAGGTATTCACCATGACATAGAGTTCTCTCAAGAAGACATTTCTGTCCTTTGCCTCGTTTAAAGAGCTGCTACCCAGAGACACAGTGGTGTCCTCTGCTCCCTGAATGGTTGTCAATGCAAATCTGAGCTTTGCATATTAGATGTTAAATATATGTTTTAAAAGCCTGATATTGAGATGGAATGGTCCATCTTTGCTTTAGTGGAGTTAAGAATTGCTTTAAAAGATTCTGGAGGGTTTTCTGTGAAAATCCTTTTTTAGAAACTCTGCTCTGTTGCACAAGAATGAGAGAATGCAAAGAATAATGCACGGTCCCCAGCAATCCTCTGTGTCTCTGGCCACCTTAGGGAGATTAAAGCCCAAATCATGGCTGGGCTGGCACTAAAAGCTGCCTCAGTACTTGATGTTCCAGTCTGCCTTGCTGATACTTCCACGTTCTCTGTAGAGTTGTGCTCTAGGAATTTCTTCCTGAAAAGAACATCCCTGTTTGTGTTGCTGGGACAGGACTCTGCCATCCTCCTTACCCCATAACATGGTCCAGGGCTTTTTAACAAGACCCATCAGTGCCAGAGAAAACTTTCTATGGCTGTGCAGGCAAATAATGCCAACACAGTAATTAGGGGAGCAGGAGCTGCACTGGTGAGATCAGCAGAGGCTGAGGTGCTCTGTGTGGGTGGAGGGTTCACCAGGCTGTTTCCAGGTCAGTGGCAAAACCAGTTTTCATTTCTCTCCTGTCCAAAATCCAAGTCAATAATAAATGTCAGTCTGGGTAAAATTGCTGTGTGTTTGTTTTTTGTGCCCTGTGTGCTTTTGATAAGAATAAGCCCTATAAAATCAGGGCTTATTCCTAATAAAAATATTAAACAAAAGTCAAAGGTGATAGTCCTTAATTTATGAATTTAATCCTCAATTTGTGACTCCTTAATCTGGTGAAAGTGTGACTGTGCTTGGCTGTGACTGTTCTTCCTTCTCAAGTTGCTTTCTTCATAGTGTGTGTGTGTTGGGGAATATTTGCCATCCCTTCTCCATGCAAAGAGCAGTGGGATGCAGGATAGAGGCTCCCAAACACTGCCTTGTATTTTTTTTTTAAATCTTCTCTTAGGGAGCCTTCTGTGTATAAAACAGGCATTTTGTTATTTTTTTTCCAAGGCGAACTTCCTCAGTTTAACTTGTTATAAAATGAGTCATGTAAAGAGCCCCTCTCTGTGTGAGGTGTATCCCTTCTCTGTGAAAACATTACAGCCCAAACAACTTGCTTGCAGTTTATTTAAGATGCTTTTGTTGAAAGCTGAGCTAAGCAGAGAAACCTCTTATGTGTGAAGTATTATACAGTGTGTGTGAGATAATAACACCTTGTAATTCATTACAGCTGGCTTGTATTTACATAAAAGAAGGCTGAGCTGTGTAGGAATTTGCTGATTAATTTATTTTTAATGAGAGTGAAGTATACCAAGTACCAAAATAAACTTTACTTTGTGTATCTTACTGCTCCTGAAATAGGTGGAAAAATTAATGGTAGATATTTTGGCTCAAAGCTACATACATTAATTCATATACAAAACAGTTATTTAAACTTTAACCCCTTTTCTGCTATGTAATTTAAACCTGGACTCATGTTATCCATGCCATGGGAACACGAGACTGGGATTCCACCACCATCCAGCCTGAGAGACCGTGTACGTCTGCGGTGCCCACGTGAAACCAGGAGCTGCTGGAATCCCTGGGACAGCTGGTCTGGAGGTGACAGTGCCCTCTGTACTCTGAATGTGGTCAAAATGGAACCCTTCCCTGTGTTTATGGGCAGGAGGCTCCAGAGATGATGGTGCCAGATGCACTCATTAGCATCTGCCTTTGCTCCTTTTATTAGGGTGAGAATAAAGACCTGTAATCACGGCCCTGCCTGGGCCATGAAATGCTGCACCCACCCGCTGGCTGGGCTGAGCCAGCACTGGGGTGTGTTTGGGGAGTGGGGCCTGGTGAGAAAGTAAGGCAGAAACTGTCCCTGAGTTATAGAAAGGTAATTTGTTAGAGAGGAAACATCCACTGGAGGCTACGCAGGACCAGGGAAGAGTTTGCTTCCCAGTCATTAGTTACCCAGAGACAGGATCTGGATGTACAATATTAGATTGGATATTGGGAAGAAATTCTTCCTGGGGGTGGGGGGGAGGGTCCTGGCACAGGTTGCCCAGAGAAGCTGTGGCTGCCCCAGCCCTGGAAGTGTCCAAGACCAGGTTGGACGGGGCTTGGAGCAACCTGGGCTAGTGGAAGGTGTCCCTGCCCAGGGCAGGGGGTGGAACTGGATGGGCTTTAAGGTCCCTTCCCATACAAACCATTCTGTGATTCTGATATGACCTCTCTTACTCTCAAGAGGTGAAGAAAGGTGAGCTGGAAAGGTGCCATTGCCAGTATCTTATGTAAGACATCTTCCTTTGCAGCCAGAATTTGAGAGTCCTTGAAAGAAAATACATTTCCAGTAGCAAAACCTGCTCCCTGCAAGTGTTCCAGCAGCAGTGACTGGCAGGTGAGTGATTCTTATGCACAGCACTGCTCCAAGGGCAGCAGAACAGAGGGGTCCGAACCAAACATTGTAAAACCCACCTTTTCCCATTTTCAAGGTTTTCCAAAGGGAATGATTGAAGGTGTTTTACTTATGGACAGTTCTTTGTTTATGCTGCTGGGTTTTTGGAAAGTGGTCTCAGAGCATCTTGGGGGCACTTACTGTATTTCAAGTGAACATATGCACGTGCATTTCTTCTGGAAGGAACCTTGTAAAGCACTTTATCATCCATCCTGATCTCCTGTCTCATATACAGAATTTGGACATCACTGGTTATTCCAAAGGACTTATTCCCCCAACTTTCCCAGGTATCTTGAAATGAAGAGCCATGAGCCCCTAGGAAGCACTCAGGATTTCAGCTGGATCTTGGCTTGCTCTCTGTGAGCAGAAGGGTCACTGCTCAGTGTCTTCCTTCTCTCCTGTTTTGCACTAGTGGGAGAGCAGGAGCATGTTTTGCCTCAAGGGGTCAAACTTGGGAAGACTCTTGCTTCAGGCTGATTTTCTTAAGACATTTTGGAGTAGGGCAGAGTCATCTGATACCCTTCAATGCCCACTCTCTATTTTAGGTGTTTAAATGTTTTTCTGTGCCATCTCAGCTGCTGTGCTCACACCACATTTGGGTATTGAACTGTTTTCCCTGCATCTTTAAAACACTGAAGTGCTGAGAGCGTGGGCATCCTGGGTGATCTCTATTCCTGTGCTGTCCAGCGCTTAAGCCCTGCTAAAATGCAACTACCACTTCCCAGATTTGTGACTCCCATCTGCACCTTCCACAAAGTGACAGTTTCAGCTGTGCCTCTGCCCCACCAAGCCCTTGGGTCAGAACTGCTGCTCCTGACCTGGCAGCTGGACTAACCACTGTCCTGTGTCCCTTATCCTGCCCCTCACTCGAAGGATTGAGTAAGAGCGAATTTTTCCACTAGAGCTTTATATCAGATGAAGAGTAGCAAAGCCATAGGAAGGTGAGCATCAGCTGGGAGGGGACTGGTTCTGCAGGCCCAGTCCCTGTGATGTGCCACTGCCACTTCATGGCACCACTTTGAGGAGCAGTGGGAGCTGTGCCTGACCCTGGGCCCCACTCGTATTTTTCCACATTCTCCTACTTGCAGCATTTCTGTGGGACTGGTTTAATCCTGAGCACATAGCAAGGGTTGTCTGCATCCCAGGGATGTGCTGAAGTGCCTCTTGAGCATTTGGAGAGGTTTGCTGATCCCCTCTACAGGTGTGCTGAACAATTCCTGGAGCTCCACAGCCAGACTGTGTACTTTCTTCCAGGAAGATGAAAGTCATGGTGGAGGGAACTGGAAAGGTTTAAGTTAACACCTAGAAACTTCTGTGTCTTTCTAACTTTTCTGCCAAGAGAGTTGTGCCACAAATACAGTGGTCATCTCAGGCCCCAGTGCAGGGGTTTGGTTGTGAGTACATGGGGTTTTTCCTTGGACGATGCTGGTGGCAGCTAATTTAGAATCACAGAATATCTTGAGCTGGAAGGGACCCACAAGGATCATCAAGTCCAACTCCTGTCCCTGCACAGCACACCCTGAGAATCCCACCCTGTACCTGAGAGCACTGTCCACATTTCCTAGTGGAGACTCCCCTGTATAGGCTCCTGCCCTCCCCATCTGCCTCTTCACATCTGCAGTGCTTTGTCTGATCTTTGTTGTCTCCCTGATTAATAAACCCTAATCAAGGCTTCTTTGCTCTTTTTCCTACAAGAGGCTGTGATGAGCCTGTGCCCTGTCCTTGCCACTGACCTGGGCTGTGTCCAGCTTGCCTGGGCCTTTAGGTACCCAAGGCTGGATGAACCCCCCTTGCAGCCTTCTGGGTGCTGGTTCTCCTGTGCTGTGCCATAGGGAGCAGTGTCTCCATCTCGGGCACATTGTCTGCATGGCCTGGCCCTGAGCACTCCCCATGTTCTCCTGAGAAGTCGAGGAGAGGGCAGGAGCTTACAAGGGAGTCCGGGAAACTTGGTGAGGACCCAGGACAGACTCTGAGGCTCAGCATGAGTGAGCAGTGGGCTCTGCTGCTTGTGCAGTGCCCACCTCTCCCCTGTCTGCCAAGGGACTGTCCCCAGGGGTGCTGTTGGCTGCCCGGCCTCCTGCTGTGATGGGGCAGTTGCACATTAACAGTCTCGTGATCCTTCCCAGACTCCTCTGGTGAGGTTTATTTTTTACCACTGCCCCTTCTTCAGGCGTCCAGGGCTGTCCTGTGCATCCTACGTGTGTTCTTCCTGAAGTTGCTGAACATGTTGAGGGAGTACTTGTTTTGCTTACAGTCATTCAACCTGCTGAGCAGCTTGTTCTGCTCATTTGTGGGACAGAAGAGATGGTTGGGCCTCATCCTTCCACTGGGAATGCAGAGCAGGAGCTCACAGGAGTGTGATTCCACCTTCTGC